TTTTGGATAAAAGCAACCAATCTTCATACTGGTCCTCGATGATAAATATTACATTTTCCATTCTTTTTATTTAGGAAAGCTTAAGTGTTATAGAATATTTGCATTTTTCACTCACTTCTTGCGTCAGCGAACCTTTACCTATCGCATGGAGAATATCGAAGCACATTTTTTTTCCACCGCCATGCTTCATCACTTTTGGATTAATGGTCATTTTAGGATCAAAATAATTCGAAAAGACCAAGCTATTACCTTCTTGCTTTATTTCATATTCATCAGACCTGTCACTGAAACATCCATTTCTTTTCATGTTAATTATTATTTCAGGTATGACCTGTTCGAAAATAACAGAGTGGCATGAAAACGAAGAAATATTAATCGATAATTTGGGATTGTTAACAGGAATATTCGACAACCTTGGAACTTTAAAAATTACATTGAATAAATCTGCCAATTGATCATTGGTATATGTAACATCATCCTTTTCATTTGTCCATTCCAAAAAATTTGAATTCGCAGAATCAATGTGCCTGACTATCTTAGACTGGAGGAATTTCAACACAATATTGTCATTCTCTGAAAAATTTGCTTGGCTTAACATCTCATCCATTGCTGAAAAATAACGTTTAACCATATGATGCATAGAATCCTTAAATGCAATTTCCTTACGGCTTTCAAGCAAATCAATAAACGCTTCATTCGCATATTGTTTACGCAGATAAGTCAGTAAATCATCTTTAATAAGTAACAAAAGTCGAATCCGTTCGACATTCATAAATTCAATAAAATTTACTGCTGTGGCTTCCTTAGAAGAGGTAATAACGAGAACAGCTTCCCCGTTTGGAACAGAAATTTCACCAACCCCAATATCAGCAAACCGAAAAATTAGAGCCATTTGTGTTGTCTGACTAAAGATGCCAACCTCACTATCCGGTGTTTTTATATCCTTGTTGAACGCTTCATTGATAACCAAATGCTCTTTAAATTCCGTGTCAGGATCTGAGTTGTTCATCCTATTCTCCGTGTCGTAGAAATATATTTTCCTAAAACTCAATACCTCACCGTCATTACCTTTAGCCAAGGCCAGAAATGTTTGAACATTTTCTTCATCGGTTTCTTTTAGTCCGTAAAGCATTCTATTAATTATTCCCTGCCTATGGAGATATGCCAATCCGGTATCACCTTCCGCTAGAATAGTGAAGATATTGGGGGCGGACTCAACTGGCTGATCATAATCAGTATTAATAGAATCCTGTGAACTTTCCTTATACTTTATGCACAGGGC